CACTGCGCCACCAGGGAGGGCCCTGCTTTCCCTTTATAAGAAACTGTCTAAGTGTTTTCCAAAGTGGTTATACCATTAAGCACTCCTATCAGCAATGATGACAACTGTTCTGTATCCTTGCCAGCACTTGCTACTGTCAATTTTTCTAAATTTTAGCTACTGTGGTAGGTGTGTAATGATATCCTATTGTGATTTTAATTTGCATTTCCTGAGATCACTACTGCTGAGCATCTTTTCATGTACTTATCTGCCATCCATCTCTGCTTTGGGAAAGGGCTAAAATCTAATGCCCATTTTTAAAAATTAGGTTATTTAATTATTATTGACTTGTAAAAGTTATTTACATGTTCTAGACACTATTCCTTTATCACACATGTGTTTTTTCCAGTTTCTTTTTTGAAGAATTAGAAATGATAAGAAGTGGCTTCTTCCAAACCTCTATTCCTTGCACATATACACTCATGTATGTATCTCATACATACAGACACCTTACTAAATCCACTAGATGGGGTCAAGCAGTTCTCAGCACCTGCTAAAATTCATGAGACTGTTTTTAACCTCAACTGTAGGCACCCAATTTATCAGGTTTTAAGGAAAGTTACATCTGGAGAAATGGCTATCCCATAAATAGCTTTTGGCCCCCCAGGCTCTACACCTCCTAAAGCCTTGTTCTGGTCCACCAGATTCCTGGAATGGTCAACAGTCGTTACACTCCATTGCTGGCCATTGTGCACTGGGAAGGTAGGAGGCTCCCAATCCATCCCCCAGTGAAAGAGCAAACAGTGGGGCCTGTGGCTGCTTGGACATCAAAGTTGAGCAAATAGGCCTGGTAGGCCCTGCCTCTCCGCCTACACATCCTGCAAATGCCATCTGAAGGAGCTTCCCTGAGGGGGGTCATGACTTTCAGCTTGTCATAGCACACATCAAAGTTTGCACCACACACGAACTGGGTGCATGGGTTCGAATCAAGTTGCCCAAGAGCGGATACTCAGCCATTGTGTCCAGTTTTAATCCTGTGTTTTCTCAAGTAATTAAGCCTTCTTGCTTATGAACTTGTGACTAAGTAAAGCATCACTGAGAGGTTGTAACATCAAAGTGCCTTCCACCGTCTGTCCGTGTTTGGTAAAATTGGATTTCTTCCCCTTCTTGAAGAAAAACTAATTGAATTTAGCTGAAGACTGGGTATATTTGCACGAGCCGGTGAAGGCGATGCTAAGTCAGAGTATCATCCTGGGATGCCGTGGCTTAGCTTTTAGCTGCGCTGATCAGAATGTAACACAGAATGAGGCACCTAGACTCAGGCTAAACAAGTGTCTGTGGCATGAAGCTTATTGGGGCTGACTGTGGTGAAGGGGCTAGCCCCCGGGGACTGCTGCTGGAGTTAACACCACAGCCAAGCTGTTACTAGGGCTGGCAAAGGGTTGTCCCAGTAGAACGTTGGTAAACCTTTGGCAGAAGGGTTATTAAAGACAATGGCACACCACTCCAGTCCTAGATGTCAGCAGTCCAAAAAACTTCTGAGGGCAAAGGTTGCAACTGGTTATCCTCCAGAGCCTATAAATCAGCAACAGACACAATCTGATTTTAAAAAAAAAGGTATGCTGAATGCATAAAACAATAATATAAAGAGATGCCAGAACAAAATTCCTTCCTCCTGAAGAACTAGAACTCTGTCTCCCTTTTTTGCCTTGCTTATCAGGAACCTCAATCTAAATTAATACTTGGTTCCACTAATTATCTGATTTACAGTGAGTGCAGCATGGTTCATTTATGTAAAATCATCCACGCACACATATATAATGATCAACCTCCATATAGAGGGAATTCAGGTGACTGCTTCCTTCCCTATATAATTTTTGCAAAAACAATAAACCTATTTTGGGAAAAGAAAATCTCTGGTTCAATCCTGATACAATTATCTTTCCTTTTACCAATATGATTTCTGATCTTGATTTGGTTTTAACTCCCCTGTGTACATTTATATTTGTATTTTAATTTAAGTCATCTCAAACTCTTTTTGGAAATAATAGGAGGAATACATTATAAGTTAAGTTCCCACACATATTTTTCAATTTTGATATATAGTACTGTATTTCCCATTCAAAATTAAGCAATATTGTCTTTATTATTCAAAATAAAATAAAATTATGCACACATACATAAAAGTTCAGAAGGTAATCTCCTTAAGGATAAAGACAATTGTGTTCTATATCCCTGAGGACTTAGCACATTAACCAGGCACTCAACTCAGTGCAGCTGAGGATGAAATGATTGGGCTGCTTTCAAGATCTCTCCCTTGGGCTTGTGGGCTGCCAACATTATAATGGAGGTGAAGGTTCCCTCTTTTCAGCACTGAATCCAGGGGTGCTGGCCTTTTACCTTCATTTCTTCCAAGTTTGATTCAGAGGTGGTGGCACCTGAGGCCTGGTTAGTATGATTCCAGAAGGACTTGATGGTTGTTCAGCTGCTCTGCACATTTCTAATAAGGAGAAACTTACGGCAGATGGTGCTGGTATGGATATGTCAGCCCTTCAAGGCGTCCTCCTATGCACCTCACCGAGTGCTATTCACTCTGACCACTGTGCTCCTGGCATTCCCTTTTACCACATTCTACTTTCTTTTCTTCCATAGCACTTCTTACCTCCTTGTATATTATCCAATTTATTTATGCATTGTATTTATTGTTTATCATCTGTCTCTGCCTCTTTCTACCCAGGGACCACCACTACTATAGGAATAAGCTCTATGAGGGCAGTGATCTTTGCCTCACAAACAGTAGGTACTTCCTAAAATTGTGATATGAATACATAAGACCAACCTGTGTGTTATTTAACCTAAAATAAACACACACACACACACACTTATTATTAAAAGGAAGAAGGCACAAAATGGACACTTAGAAAACCAATAATTAGTCCTAGGAACCAAAGCAAATAAATGTAAGCCAACACTTTCACTTTGCTCAAGGAGTATCCCTGATTTGCTAGTGGCCCAGGACAAAAAGGGAAATCAGTTAAACCAACAACTCATTAGATTCAGATAACTGTCTCCAAAGCACATCTACCAGCTATCTGCTCACTGATTGACAGTGCTTGAAGTATAGCATTATTTTCTATTCAACCAGTCCAGGCTCTATATCCTGGAAATACTACAACATAGAAGAGAACACAGTCCCCTTTTCTCCACCACAGTCTATCTCCTATAGACAGAAACGCCCACAGAAGGGCAAGAGAATGGTGGGTGGGTGCAGGTGGTGGTGGAGAGAGTATCAGTGGTATAGAACAAACATTTGTGTGTGTGTGTATGGAGCGTAAGAGGCCTAATTTGGGCAGCAGGGAATAACAACTCACCACCAGTAATCTGTGGCTAGATGCGATAGCTCATCTGAGTCTCACAAGAACATGGGAGTATCCACTCCCCTGCCAGCTCAGTGTCCTGAGCATCGATAAGTGTCCTGTTCACACAGCTCTGATATCACTGATGATACTGTCTCTCAACCTAGTATCTTTTCCACACTAGCCAATGAGTGTCCAAGGTCTCTGATTCCTCAAAGATCAACACAGAACCTGGCTCGGAGTAGATATTTATCAAATATTTACAGTTTAGGTAAAGAAACATGGAGTCCAAAGAATTCTGAAATTCAATTAAGGATCAGAACCAGGAATGGAGTCCAGATCTCTCAACTGTAAGTCTACATCAATTTTTCTTTAATGACTAAAGGCTTGGATTAAAGAGGCAAATAAACAGAATGTTAAGATCAAGTTGGAAAGAGGAGCAGAGAAGGGAGATCTTAAGTACAACTAAGCCTCTAGCCAGCACTACCACTCCTAGATTCTAAAATCTGTTTCAGTGGTTTCCACCATATTTATTGTTTTTCCAAAGGCAGCCAGTACAACTTAAAAAAAAAAAATCTTATAGATCTGTTTGAAGGGAAAATTTAAATCGGCACCTCCAACTACCAATTTCATCGGCTACTACTAACATGCCCCGTTTGTTTTCCTTAAGAGCATTTCTTTTTGCTCTTAAAAATCAATTACTCTAAAAATAATGAACAACCATATACCAGAGACATTCTGTGGGGGCGGAGTGGGGAATGGGATCAAAAAGGGGGGGGGGAAGGAGGGAATGCATGGGAATGGGACTATGGTGGTGGCACAGGGGTGATCTGGTGATGGGAAACCCGCGGGGATTACAATCGAGATGGAAAAAAAAAATGTGCAAAATGATGTAAAAATAAACTTTGTAATAAAAAAAAAATCAATTACTCTGCACAATCACAACGAGAGACAAGGATGGAGAAGCAGCATTTCTAGCACTAACCTGGAATCTGGCAGAGGAAGGCAGCATGAGATATAGTAAAACTCAAGCTTTGCAGGCAGCCAGGCCAGGTTCTAAATCCTGCCTGTGTGACCTTAGACAGGTCACTTTATCTTTTTTGGTTTCACTTTCTCAGCTGTGAAATTAGAATAGCAATATGTGTCTTGTTGAGTGATTTTGAGAATTAGCTCTGTGTATAAAAAGTGAACTATTTCAATCTTTATATAGCAGTGATGGAATGGGGAGAAGGTATAAAAATAGCAGATCCTCCCATGGGAGGAAAGGAACACTGCACCCTCTCAGCCTTCCCTAGTTTCCATTATAATCTCCAGTGAAAACAACCCAGTAGAGCCCTAGCTGGCACAGTAACTGTAGACTATTCAACATGGACAGATGGTGATCATGAAACACAACTTGCACATAAACACATGTTCATTTACAATGGCTTTCAAGCATTTTGTTGCTTTGTTATCAAATGACTTGCCTAAGATCACAGAGAAAATGCACGATGGGGCAGGGTTGCAAAGCCACATCATTCCTTTCACTGCATCAGATGTCAGCTACTACCCTAGACAGAATCACCTCCCTGCCTCTGGGGGTGGGGGGGTGCAGAATTCAGGAGGGGTCAGGAACATGATCTGAACTGATCTGGCTAAGGGAGTGCTATGTGGAAGGAGACTGACCTGTCGTTTCGGCTGATGGCTGCTACCATGAGTGCTGTCCAGCCAAGCTTGTGCCTTGCGTTGACATCTGCACCTTCTGACAACAGCCTAGGAAGAAACAGAGGGATAGTTTAAATATATGTCTTATCAAGGGTGCCCACGAATGGAAGAAATGAAAGTCAACAAATGAGGAGGCTGGGTAAGCTGGAAATAGAAGCCTTCCAGAAATAAATATCCTATCCCAGCTCCTCTATCCATTCTCTCCCCACCCCACATGTTCCCTGCCTCTCTTCCACTTTCCTAAAATGAGTCTGCTCCCACTGTTATGCTCGCAACCTTCTGAGCAGAATGTGTGCCTCCCCACCTGAATATGTAGGCATTCCCAACCCTTCGGAACAAAATGCTCTCCCTGTCCATTCTAATCCTACAAACTCTCCTGGGAGGGCTTCCCCAATTCACCCAGTCCACAGATCTTTCTCTCTTTGAATTTTCCTGTGCTTAGTACAGAATGAATGCCCAGTATCACCTCCTATGTAGTAGTTCCCAGATAAGAAAAGTCACAATCACCTATGAGGTTACTTGGTTAGATACTGGAAAGTCTTGAACCCAAGGAAAGATGGAATGAGTGTCAGAAAAGCTGGATTAGGTTCCTAGTCACATAGTTCATATGAGTTTACATGACTCTATACACCAGGGCCTAGCATATAGCAGTGCAATACTTGTAGGACACACACTTTTATGTATATCACTAAAATCCTGAATTGTGGGCCCCAAGAACAAGGGTCCATACAATGTGAAATTGAGTAGAAGGGGAGAAAATTGAACCAAGTCTCAGTAAGTACCCATAAAAACAGGCACTACCCTTTGAACTTTAGTCATGCTTTCCTTTGCTCTTCACATAAACATAAGGAGCTAATATCCATCTACTTCCATGGATGAGCAAGCCAATAAGCTGAGGTGACTTGCTGAAGGTCACACAGCTAGCTCAGGGCCATTATAGGGACCATATGAGTCCCCATCCTGTCACCAGCCCACCTCCCTCTCTTCTGAACATGGTTCCACGCGGCATAGGAGACTGCACACTGAAGTGACTTCAGCACTCACCATGGTATGTGTTTGGTCCAGTGCTAGAATCTGGGATGGGAAGAGAAGACATGAGGTGTATCCCAGGGACATATACAATTTAATTCTGGAGGGAAGGCTAGGACAGTATGAAATCATAATCTAGTTGTGTGATTTCCCACATAAATGCTACAAGGAGGCCAGGAAAGGGAGACCCCCAAAATCAAAAGCAATTTACCAGTGAGACAGGATCTATTTATGAGAAATGGGCAGAGAGTAGGAAAGTGGGAGTTGTCCACTCCTGCTTTCTTGCTGAAAGGGCAGTGGCGAGAGTCTAGAGGCTTGATTTTGTGCCTTTGTACCATTCTTGCACCACAGTCACAGCAAATGATCTGTACCGGAAGATCAAGTGACCAAATTGCCAAATGACACCTCTGTGCTATTGTAGTAAGCAATGACAGCGGTTTGGGCAGATGAGACAACATCCTGGCCTATGCTGATGTGGAGAAGACAGGGGTTGTCAGAGCCTGAGGGGGAGCCAGACTAGCAAGCACATAATGACCCACCAGGCAAATGCTGTAATGGGGGCCACAGGCCACACATGCACAGGGAACCTAACGCATTCTCAGTGAAAACTCAGGAGAGCGCCTCTGGGAAGATGACGCTGGAGAGTTAGCCAGTCAAAAGGAGATGAAGAAGGGAAGGAATGTTCCAGGCATATGCAAAATCTCTCATTCAGAGGAATAGGTGGCAAGGGGCACAAGAGGCCCCAAGAGAGGTTTGGCTTGACTGGGGCACAAAATGGGGAGGGAGATTATTGAGAGAAGAGGCTGGGAAACCCTGATCTCTCACCTCTGCTTTGATGGTGAAACCCTGGCCTTCTTACCACACAAATTAGAATTTTTTTTTTTAATGTAGTAACACTTATGGCTAAAGAGGTTAAGAATTTGGGAGATGACTTTTCTGTAGACAAAAAATTCTTTTTTGTACAAAACCTTTTTCCTTATTTACAAAACCTACACTTTGTTTAGCAGGCCACGGTGGTGCCATAGACAGTATGTAGTTCTGAGAATTCAGAGACTGGAGCTCTCTTATCCAAACTGTGATTCTAACAGCTGTGCCTCACTTCTCTGGATCTCAGCCCAGGAGACCAGAATATCAGGATGGGATGAAGCAGGTCAAAATGGTTTCTGAGGGAAAAGACTTGGAGAATGGGAACAATTTACAGATGAGGGAGGAAGTTACCTGGCAGTCAAGACAAAGACTTCTGATATTACTCGAGAGCAGGGAGGAATGGGAAGGCAAGTTGGGAGACCTCTGAGCAGATCCACCCACTTGATCACAGTTCCTAGCATAGCAACAAGCTACTAAGGTCTGCAGGGTCTACAACATGGCCTCCAACACTAGGTAGAGAGCAGAAACCTTTTGTGAGCCATGGACTCCTCTGAATATGATTACAGGGTGACTCCAGGAAACTGTATAAAAGCACACCCACTCAAAATTTTTTTTTATTTTTACATATGACAGCTGGGAAAGGAGGTGCCAGGTTCCACAGGTCTGTACAAAATTAACCTAGGGTGAGAGCGATTAAAAAGCCAACCTTCAGGGTTGACAGATGCCTGGCATGCATGCATGCTATCACTCTAGACTCTGCACCTAAACCAGACATCTTCCAGTTGCTCTTTCCTGTGAAGCCTTTGGAAGAGCCTCAGAACCAGCCTCAACACTGGTTCCAATCAGCTTCTACCAACGAAAGTTAGCGACAGTGAGGAAGCCTATTTGTCACCCCCTGCACTTTTACTGCAGGCAGTGGGGCTGTCATGGAATGTTTGGGGACAAGAGAAATCATAAAATTAATTTAATAACTGAATTTGAAAGGGGAAAAGGTAAAAAATGTAGACAAGGAAACCAATTTGGAAGTTGCTGTAATACAGAACCAGGGAGATAGGCTAAGGCAGGGAAATGAGAAAGCAGGGCGTAGCTAAGAGAAATTCCGTGCAGCCAGTTTTTAATTGCTCCATAATTCTCATAGTATCTTACATCTACCACATTCTCCTTCTGTTCTCCCACGGGTACTGGCCCAGGTAGTAACTATCTCCCAGTCAGAGTCATGCCTAAAGAACATACTCTTGCACACAAACACACCCCTTCTTTGAAGCTGTTATTTCCTGGGGCGCATACCTAGAGTGGGATCCCTGGGTCACAGGGTTTGCAGGTACCTACTTTGACAAAATGCTAGGTCCTCTCCAGAGTAGCTGCTTCATCAAACCTCCCTCCAACAGGACAGGGTGTTCCTGTGGATCCTTCTCCCTGTCAACACTTGTCAGCAGCCAGCTTCCACTGCCTGTACCATGGGGTAAAGGATAGCATATCTGGTTGCCAATAATTTTACACTACTTTTTGTATGCATTTTCTTACTTTGGGGTTCTTTTTCCTGTATGTTATAGAGTATAGGGTTGTGGGGAAAGGTAGCTTCTCCAAACTTGCTGTTTTTTTCGATGAATCAAGCGGAAAGAACAAGAGCAGGCAGGAGACCTGCCTCCTTTAACCTAGGCCAGGCATATCATTTAGGCTTCAGTCTCTTTGTGGGCCCACGAGGATCACAATCCCCACCAGCTTCACAGGGGTTTTAGGCGGCAACACTGAAATCTGAAGGAAAGGGCTCTATAAAGGGGAGTGATTCCTAGGTGGCAAATCTTAGTGTTCTTCAGTAAGACGCCAGTGTTTAAGCCCTGCCCAGTAACCTGCCTGAGCATCATTCTCTGCAGTCTCTTGGGGCTGAGATGTAATGGAAAAAGCAATGACCCTGGCACCCAAAGGCTAGAGTTCAGATTCTGGCTCTGTCACTTACTAGATGTGAAATGAGGGATATTAATCCCTGTTGTGCAAGGTGGTTGTAAGGATTAACACAATTCCACAAGGAGTGGGGCACCTAGTAAACCAAGGAACGACCAGAACAAAACAGACACCACCCTGCAACCCAGTGCAAACAACTTTTCTTCTTCTTTCTGAACTGGGTGGGCCCCTCCTCCATTTCCCTAGGGGCCCGAGCAGCCCCACAAGTTAAGATTTCCCAAACCAGCTCTCCTCCATTTCATTTTGTCACTTTGCAAGTGAATGCCCAGCAGGCAGTCATTTCAAAGTCCTGGGCCAGCTGGGCGGGTAGCTGCCTGCTGAGAGTGGCTGAAAGGGCCTCAGAGGCCTAAGAAAGCCACCCTAGCTCTCCCCTGTGATTTTCACCAATGGACAAAATACGGCAAGTGAATTAATCTCTTTTAAAAAGAGCAATGCTTGTGACAGAGCACGGTGTCTCCGAAAAGGTTAGGATTCCATCATCCCTGAGATGATGAGTGGAATGCTTAATGCAGGTTGCCACTCAGGGCAGAGCAGCCTGTGTCCGGGGCCGGGGAGTGGGGGTGGGCACTACAGACCTTTCTGGGCTCACTTCCTCATGGAAGGCCCTTCCCTAATGAACTCGGTCTCCTGCTTGGCCTGGCAGAGTTAGGTGACATTAATTGGGGATGACCCAGGGTACTTGATAGAGAGGAGCTCACACTAGCTTTGAATCAAGAGTTGAATCCCAGCTCTCAGACAACTTACAGGCAATAGAATGGGCCAGGGAAATAAATGGGAGAGACTGCAGTACAAAGGCAGGTTCTTACTTGCTGGATGGCAATCTCTCTGGTTGAACAAGTGACTTAACCTCCCTGCACCACGCTCACATGGTCCCCTCATCTGGGTGACAGCTCTGGCTCTCTGAGTCTGTTACCACATCTGTTAAAAAAATGAAGACAACCCCATCAGCCCTGCTCCAGGTCACACAAGAGGTTCCAGGAAGAGACAATGAGACAAGATAACTAAAAATACTTGGTATGCAATGAAGTGTTATACAAATAGAAGAACCTATGCAATTGTATTTATATGAAAGAGGTGCACACAGAACTTGGAACATCGAGTGCTCAGAATTTTATGTGGATTGAAAATGCTCGCTCTCAAATCTCCAGCCAAAGGCAGTGGTAGAATAAGGGTTCCCAAGCCCAAGAACT